AAAGGTATCTCTGTAACAGACCGTGGAGGCCCATAAGGTTGTGAGATGCTGAGGTTCCCACATTTTCTAGACAATCGGCTCATAGATGGCGGTAAAGTTGTCAGCCTTACGCGCCGGCCGCCGTTTACCCCAAGAACATTCCAAGAATATCCCTGGTACTCATTTCTGTTAGAGGCTCAGTCGACCCCAGGGCCATAGTGCGGCTGGAAGGATTAGGTAAATTGAAAAAAATCCACCTCATCGGGATTCGATCCCGCGACCTTCCTGCTTGTAGCATAGTGCCTCAACCAACTACACTACCGCATGCCTTACCCTTCATATTATATTATATTAAGGTAAAACAAGAAGTTGTATGAAGAACTAATTGCACTTTCCTCCAATGCGACACGAGCCGCATAGACAAAGATGCGTCAAACAGTTCCGCTATTGTTGCGTGTGTACTCGTTGCAGCGGTAACATTTTAACCGAGGCGTTACCTAGCAACGTTAGGGGACACATATACAGACACACAAACTGATGGAAGTAATTTATGAGGTACACCGTTGAGATGGGCTCAGGTGCCATGGTATACATACCAAATTTCATAAAAATTGATTCAGGCATACAAAGATTGATAGGAGAGATAAGCAGACATAGACAGCATGGTGATCTCATAAGCCTGCTTTTTAACATACTTCCCTTATTTTTAAGGAAAGTAGGCTGAAAAGGCAAAGTTGTCCCTGTGCTTAACTAACTAAGCACTATCCCATGAAGACGTATGGGAAAGTGGATCTTTCTGTCCATGTATTCTTGACCTCGACCCTAATTTCAGGTGACTGGTCAATTTCGCACCCCTTCCACTTAACCACAGGGAAACAGCTCCGGTACCCATGACGCTGGGTAGGTCCCGTAACCAGTGTGGACAAAGGCAGAGAGGAGAAAAATCTTTCCCTTACCGGGACTCGAACTTGGATCACTCAGACATTGTTAACTTTGCTGTTACATGTATGATTTCGAATGCAGATTACTTTCTTTATAGCCACTGCACTGAGAGTGTGACTTAGTTAACGAGTAGGGTGTAAGCAATAAATTATCTACATGTTAATTTGATATAAACTCCTTTATTCAAGTATGAAAGAAGAAATTCTGTTGCTTAACATCGCCATATATATTTCCGTGAAGAGGAAGGCGAAAATGATGAATGATTAATGAGCGATGCTGGAATGATGCAGAAGCACTGTCACCATTTTTAATAAGGAGCATCTAATGAACGATCCATAATTGGTACCGCAGAATAAGCGTATATAACCTCCATATACTTGTATTTCATAGTAACCGTGGTAATGAAACATGTTCTGAAAGGATGGTGGTTTCGAATCCCACTCAACCCATGGATGTTCGTCTATATTTTATTCTGTGTTTATGTTATCCTATGTAGGCAGCGGCCTTGCGTCGGGCTGATCCCCCGTCCAAAGAGTCCTACCGACTGTCTAAGATTAAGAAACTGAAGTGAAGCAAAGCGTCTCACGGATGCCCTGTGCTACAAGTGGGAACAACAGGAATAGATAGATAGATAGATAGATAGGTAGGTAGATAGATAGATAGATAGATAGATAGGTAGGTAGGTAGGTAGGTAGATAGATCTCCCATCTAGAAAAAACTTCACGTAATACAGACTTTGGAGGCCGATACTGATAATATACAATTTTATCTATAAATTTCCTTTGCGAAATTCAGTGCAAATCCTTTAGGTATTTTGCGAGCTCAAACTTGCGGATCGACGTACATGACCTCTCTATTACGCGTTAAATTTTTGTACATAGTGCAAAGAATGCAAGACATCGATACATCTGTTTAAAGCTTTCAAGGACGGCTCTTTTTTCCACACTTCAATTTTAGAGCCGAAATCTCTGAGACATTGCATCATTTCTATAGAGCATGAAATTGAAGAGCAGACGGGTTTCCGTTACCGGAGGCATCCCGTGGCAGGTGCGGACCTCGTGTAACAGCGTGGGAAGACCGGTCTACTCATAAACTAGACATTCTGTAGTATCTAGTTTATTTGAAATTTAAAATTAGAATCGATATTTCACAATAAGCTACTGTAACTGCGTCATTGCTGTCGAACAACAAACAATTTAATGAAGCATTGTTCTGGTACGGATAAAAACAGAAGGGCGTTGTGCACAACGTGCGGTAGGAGGTTCCAGGAATAGAGACAGGTTCATCATCCTTATACTTTTATTCTTTCGATAGCAATCTCATTATCTCCAGTCGCTCCACCAAGGAATTAGAAGCTGGTGGTTACATACATAAATGGAGGCATTACACATTCCTTCTTTCCCACGTAGTACTGAATACAGAGCACAGGCTATGAACGTACGAAACCAAAAAGACGCAGAGTATGAAAGGTTGCGTATATCATAGGGAGAATGCCGTCTTCTGGGATTTAGAGCTTTAGACTTTTCGGAGGAATATATCGCCTACTGTAGGTGGCTGCAACCACCTGCTCAAGCTGGTTCCTCGCTCACAGATTTTCTACCTTGAAGATGGAGGCGATAAGTTTCTCCGAAACGTCGGTCCACATAAGATTTACACAGCACCACAGCCCAGAAAACGTCATTCTTTATAGTCACCGCCGTGAAAACCTCAAATCTTACATATTATAGGTAGTTTCGCAACATGAAAAGAAAAACTAAAACTAAACTCCGCCATTGTTCTTGTGTAGATTACAATTTAATAGTACCATTCTTATCTATTTTTATTCGATTCCCGGCACGTGTAAGATTTTTCTCTTCTCTACAGATTCCACGCCGGCTCTGTGGCCCAATCAGCCCCCCATCCCCAGGCAATGGTTACTGAGGGCTCTTTCCGCGGGGGTAAAGCGGCAAGGGCGTGAAGCTGGCCCCTCAGCTCCGTCTAGTGCCCAGGCCAAGAATGGTTAATTAGTTCATCACGGGGAATTTTTTTTTCCTTCCTCTTCGCTCCCACTTTGGAGCAGAGGGCTGATTTCTCAGTTCATTGATCATTTTTACATACGGTAGGACTACTTGGACGGGTGATAAGCTCGTCGCAAGGCCTCTACCTAAACACAGAACAACACAAACACAGAATAAACACACCCACACACCAAACATCCATGCCTTGTGTGGGATTCGAACCCACAATCCCGGCTTTCGAGCGAGCGAGCCTTAGACCGCTCGGCTATCGTGACCGGCACGGGGAAAATTTTACCTATAGTAATTTAACGAACCTGTCAGTAACTTAACATTAAAAGCATCGAATAATTGCTTGATAGTCAGTAAGGAATTGAAAAGGACGTGGAAGGCGGGACTGAGAAAAATTGCGAAAAAGTCCCAATCAGGAAATCTGGTTTCTGCTCCCAGAATTTGAACAGCTTGCCACCCCAAAACAAATCATAAATGTTACCGCTTGAGTCAACTTGCCTGATGTCGCTACTGTCATGTGATACTTGAATAAGGTATGACATGCAGCACGAGGGAGTCTAGTTCGTTATGCAAAGGGGAGTATTGATCTTTTAATCCATTCCTATCGAACACGTCCAGCCTGGTTTAATGAGATGCAGTCAACAAAGAAATAGCCACGTCAATCAAACTGAATTGGTTTTGCTCATCATTTGTAATTACCTACAAAGAGATTCTCCACAGGAATTTTTGCCTGCCTGCCTGCCTGTTCACCGGAATAAATAATTGAAATTAATATTACGAGACTCGATGTCGAAGGGTAAGCAAAGTCATAAGCCGAATGTCGCGAGAACACAGGCCCCGTGTGGGATATTTTTCTCTTACACTTTTGGCAGATGTTGGTCATTTTGGTGTTATTTCCGAATTAAGTAACTGCCAATATATAAAACTGTCGTTTTAGTAAAGCTATACAGATCTTTTTTACGTTATGATGTTATGTCTTGAAGAAATACAGTATATTATTCAAAATGTATGACCGAAATTTAGTTGTATCATTATATTCGTTACTGTGTAAATTTTTCCCTAATAATTCTTGAATCAAGTTTCTTAGCCGAAAATTTACTAAAGAAACATATACACAGAGTTACCGCCACTTATGGAGCTCATTTCTGAAGACATTTTGAACAAAAAGTGTCATATAAACTTGGGTTCTATACTCAATATTTACAGAGTTACGTTCGTAATTTGAAGGTTTCTAAATTTTAAATTTAATTTTAAATACAAAATTACATTATTTTAATGCATTTATTGCCACAAAACAAATTAATTTTATGGACTTGATTCTATGGAGTTCAATTTTGCAAAGTCTTACATAGATCACAACACATTTTCAAAAATGCCGTCTTCCGCTTCGATACACTTGTCCGCACGTTTGTGAACCGCGCACGTCGCTCTACGTAGGTGAATATTGTTATCTCTGATTCCCGTAGCAGCGTGCATGATGCGAGCAAGTTCCTGACATGTTTGTGCCTTCTTTTGGTAAACAATGTCCTTCAGTGGTTGTAATAATTTCGGATGATGAATAAGTCAAAAGTAATAGAACAAGACAATGTGTCAGACCACTGTAAAAAAAAAACAACTAAGTCTGCTTAGAGTTTAATTTATCTTTTACGTTGAAACTGAATGCAACACGTTTTGCTGGATACTTTCAAAATTGCGGATTTCCTTGAAGTGTCTTCAGTTCTTCAATACTTGAAAAGGTTGCTACCCCTCTGATAAAATTGAGTCTGTTTTCTCTACAGTTATTGTTTCAATTACTTGTAACATTCAAATGTGCATTAACATAACATATAAGGGAACCTCCACACTTCCTGCAATCTGCCGAACATATTCTGAAAACAAATGCCTCATATAAAAGCTCCATTTTTAAAGATCTTTGATATCATTATTCTTTATGCTGTCAGTTCCATTGATCACAACCTGAAGATGGTTGTTATGCCCTTAAAAACGGGCGGCATTGCTCTGAAATCTATGAAGTACCATGTTCTGAACCTACACGGAAAGACTATTAAGTGATCAACTCAACAGAATACCGACCTGGAACAGGAATTGTCCAGCGCATTATTCTGGGCTTTGCACTTGGTATCCCGGCGTCCCTGTTTTCTTCTTTATGGCGTCATCACTCCTGTGGGAAACAAAGTGACAAGACACACAGTAAGCTCCAAACAAATTATCCTCCTGTTACAAGCTGCTTGTATTGGAATCGTTGTCTATATAAAATTTTAAGTAATATGAACACATTTTGTCTTTAGTGTAATTATAGATTTCACATAAATCCAGATTTTTGATATTTCATTGTCGAAATTCGCGGTTTGGGTGGTTAATAATCTTGCTTCGTATTCGGGAGGCTTTGGGTTGAAATCTTGGCCTTCAGTCGCGCTATACTGAATGTTATTTTTCGAGAGTTTCCTCAGTTTCTCCAAGAGATGCTTGTGTAGTACCTTACAAATGACCACGATCGCTGTCTTCCACAACTGCTTGCAGGCAGACTAAATTATTTCAATATTTCAAACGACTAGTAATTATGTATTGGGATAGCTTAAACAGTGAGTGGCTTGCTGCAGGCCAACAGCCTGCGTTTCCATACCGGACGAGGGAGGAATATTTTTTTTCTCCCCACCACGCCCAGTGTTACACCAAGCCTTACATACACTGGGTATGTGAGGTTCTTTCATAAGGACGAAGCGCGCCGAGCATAAAGCTCACAACTCACGTTTATCTAATATCGAGGTTAAGCATTCCTTCTTAGGTCATCATAGGGTACAGGTAAGCTTCAATTTGATTCTTTGAAGACAAATATGAGAGCTACGTGCTACCCTCATAGTAATCACGCCACTTGTCTGTTATGAAATTAATGCAGCGAACGATGTCCAGGAAAATCAGCATTTATTATTCCGAAAACCAACTGAAAATAACAAATGTTCTCTCTGAGGGAAACGTTGAGATTCTTAACATTAAACCTGGTGAGATACAGTACTGTCAGTCTCCATTAAGGGGTCACTTCTAGGCATGCTCATTATTGAAGACAAGACCGTAACTGTCAAACAGTAATAAATATATGTTCATGAGCTCCAAATGTTGCTCGACACCAAGACCTACTGACTGACTGACCGTCAGTCACAGTGTGACTTTGACTTTGCAACCAGTCGCAGCTAAGAAGCGGTCAGTCAAAGGGAATTCAGAAGGCAGATGAATAATTGAAGGGTTGAAGACGTTATTTCCATGTTACAGTTACAGAAGTTGAGAGGACGAGCACGAGAATGGAGTATGTCTTAGTGAATTGTGAAGACTACAATTGATTGCAATTTTGAAGACGTGTTCAATAAACCCAGTCATCAAATCTAAACCCCTTTTTTTTTGTCATTCATACCCCCCCCCCCACACGTGACAGTATTATTTCTTTTTAACAAATAATTGAGCGACTTTCATTAATTTCGAATAGATTTAAATTATAATTAAATTATAACCACCCTGAGCTGTTTCGTAGTGTCTTGAAGCATTCAATATGAACGTCGAAATATTATCCTAAGACAGTCAAGAGTCGCCTGTTTTCCGATCTGTGCCATGCATTAGACTTAAACACGGTCTCGTCTTACTGCCTCAACATACTCTTGCAGTCGATATGCAGTCGTGTGAAATTCTAGTGGTCAGTTTAAGAGTTTGTGGAGTACAATCTGCTGTCGCTATCTGGACACTTTTCGGCAGTTTGCTTCCCTGGCAGTACAGAAAAGTAGATTCATGTACGGGTATCGTGTACCAATAAATTACCCCGTTATCGGAAAGTATCAGGGGCTGTTTGTATTCCTGTCAGAGCTCGTGGACGAGTTCTTTACGCCCATGTATGACCCCACTTCGCAGGCCAGCCAAGTGACAGGGTAGCTCAATAAATTGCATAAAAGGGAAGTCGCCATTAAAGAGGACATCTCTGTAAAGGGATGAAGGACGAAAGGAGAGCAGGGTGAGCTTGACGTGACAGGGTACATAAAAAGGTAAAGTTGTCTCTGTGCTTAACTAATTAACCACTACTCCATGAAGACTTATGTGGAAGTTGCTGAATAGATCCACGTATTCTTGACCTCGGCACTAGTTGGAGGCGAGTGGTCAATTTCAATTTCAATTTATTTCACATTCAAAAATAGATCCAGATACAGGCTGGGAAACAACCATTGGATATAGAATGGTCACAGATAAAAAAAACAAGCATTCCATTTCCACAGGAACAAGTCAAGGCATTCATAATATAAAAGAAATAAAAAAGAACATATCAACCATGTATACAACAGAACTCCCCCAGTTTATAAAAAAACGCAAAACCAAGACATAGAACTCTCAAAGGTTTCAGGCGTCAGTACAAGCTCTTTTTTCATTTTCATTACTCATCTATTATTTCCATAAAATCCAAATACTTTAGGATGTGGAAAAGTCATATTAGATAAATAAGTATTACAAAGAACTAAGTCAAGACAAAAGAATAGAACCAGAATACAATTAATCTTACAGACTAGTATATATAAAAAATTCATCCACAGTATAAAATGGGTGACAACTCAAGAATTCTTTTAATTTTAATTTAAACCGTTTAATATCTTTATATAATTGCTTCAAATTTAGTGGGAGACAACTGAACAGTTTAATGCCCATATAATATGAGCCTTTTTGATTTAATGTAAATGAGTTGAGGGTTGATATGGATTTAGGCTGAGTACCTGTCTAGTGTCTCTATTATGTATATCAGATACAGAATAATATTGACCCATGTTATCGACCACAAAAGATAGTAGTGAATAAATATACAAAGATGAAAGAGTAAGAATTTTTAGAGTAGTGAATATCGTTTTACATGAGTTTCTGTTACCAACACCAGTTATTAGTCTCACCGCCCTCTTCTGCAAACGAAAGACATTGATGGCGTACGAAGCGTTACCCTCAGGCCGCTTTGCCCCCGGAAAAAGACTCCGCTTTGCCCATTGGATAGGTGGGTTGGGTGCATGCAAAGTTAAGTAACATTGTAATCTTGTAGCTCAGATATGAGATTTCCACTGTTCAGACGATGGGATAGGAAGTCTTGTTTTAACAGTACCGATTTTTCCAGTACTAGAGATGAAAAGGAAAGATAGAGGGGCGGATAGAAGTGACAAGAAGACGAGAAAGAGGACGTAAGAGGATGCTGGATGACCTTGGGGACAGAAGAGGATACTGTCATTTGAAGGAGAAAGCTCTAGATCGCATTAAGTGGAGGAATTGTTTTGGAAGAGACTGTGGACCTGTCGTCTGACAGATTACTGATGATGAAGAGAGATGAAAGTATGAAAAGTATATGGTTTTTTAATAAGTAGCCTGATGTTTTATCATTTTAGTTTATAAGTACGTGAGTATATTTATATAAATGCATTTATGGAAGGGATTGATTGCGTTGGGAATGGATAATATTACTTAACAGAGAAATTGATGATTTATTTAGGTTAATGGCTGTTAAAATAATGAACTGAGGAACTTATAATGCGGTTTAGGTATCTGTATAGCACGTAGCCTCTTCTGAATCACCATATGGATGACTGAGAAGGAGAAGGAATAATGATAATAATAATAACATATATTTTTATATTGCTAGTGGGGTAGGACTAAGTCCCTTGTACTGCGGCCACTTCTGGCGTATTGTAGCAGCCCCAGATGATAGGTGAGGGTGATTGCGGAGCAATTGGTGGAATGAAGATTGGCAGGGGAAACCGAAGTACTCGGAGAAAAGCTGTCCCAGCGCCAATTTGTCCACCAGACGTAAATGAAGAGGAATCCAAATATATACGAGTATCTATCTGTGTTTCGTTACCACAATGGCATAATACACAGCTGATTTGCTCTACGAAAATGTGCCAAACTCAAAATATCTGGGAACATGATTGGCAAGGCAATTGCATTGATCAAGAAATTAAGAGCATATTAAATTCGGGGATGCCTGCTACTATTCAATTCAGAATTGTTTGCCTCTCTGTTGCCTATGCAAAAACGTAAAAAATAAAATGCACAAAACAATAATTTTGCCTATTGTTTTGTATGGCTGTGAAATTTGGACTGTCTCATTAAGGTAAGAACATAGGCTGAGGATGTTTTAGAAAAAGTTGTTGAGGAGAATATTTGGATCTAAGCGGGAAACATATCATGGACCCTGGCAGGCGAGGGGAGAATTATGCGTCTTGCCTCCGGGTTGTTTTAGAGTATACCAAAATGAAGAAGAGGAGGAAATAGACTAAATATTAAAGATAAAATTTAAATTAGTAGAAAAGATAGAATTAAAGCGGCTAAATTAGTAGAAAAGATGGACTTAAAACGGCTTAATTGTAAGTTTGAAAGCAAATTTTCTGTTTGACCCCATAGAAAGAAATTCCAGCCGCGCCCATGAAAATGTAATAAAATCGCGAACTTCTCTGATATCTTAAGAGTGGGAACCACTGTCTGGTTGCTCTGACCATGGTGGAATTCCTAGAGCTACAGTAATGTGGAATTTATTCAGTATGTAATTGAGTAACTGGGTCTACTGAATGCTCAGGTAGAAAACCGTACCAACGATAAGCTGTTATCGTCATAGGTATTATTATTATTATTATTAGTAGTAGTAGTAGTAGAAATTGGTTTTGTTGCAAGCATTACAATAACAATTTTCCAAAAGGTGATTATATCAATATTTTAACGTGCTAATAATTTATACACCTTTGCCGAAAAGCATAAATGCTGGTAAATGTCACGGATTTAGGGTTTTATGGAGATATTTATGTCCAATAGCAGGATAAATCAATCGAAATGATGTGGGACAATGGATTTTATGACGTAATACGTTGTCACAGAAATGTTTCCCCTATCGACAAGAGAATGGAAGTTACCTACTAAGCATATGTTAAATATATTTAAGCGAAGCAAAAGGGTGTTTTTTATTTCACTACTTAATGCATAAATTAACTTACCTTTAATTGATAACTGTGTAAGCTGCGAGAAGATTCAAGCGGAAAAATTGTTTTCGTAGAGAAGGCCTCGACTTTCTATTTGCTTTCTCTGATGACGGAGATGATGATTAACGTCCAGAACACTTCATATTTTCCAAGAAATAAAAACTTCATCGGAACATTAAGCTAACTTAACTAGATAAAACGTCAGTCATATAAATACTTATTTCAACAAGAAGAAATTTCTGTAAATTGTAGGAAAAATCCTAGTACGCGAAATGAGTAAGATTAAAATATTACAAATTAATTTTAGTCTTTTAGTGGGGTTAATTTTAATATCACAGAAATAAAAATGCTTATAGAAAATAATGGCGACTACATAACTGGTTCTCACACAAAAGAAAAAGAAAAAAATATTACAGACAGTTAATATTGTGCTCTGTCGTGGTCTTACATAAATATAAACAAATGAACAGGGGTCCACACAAGATTCGAGGGATGTTTGTCTGTTATTTATACATTTAAGCTCCGAAAATAAAACAGTTTATATAATTTTTTATAACTATTTTGAAGGGTATCTCTCATATCTAAATATACACGACTGTTTATCGCAATACCAAATATTAAATAGCAGAATAGAACCAAATTTTGACGTCTCGTTATAATGCACAACACATGAGGTTCTGTTTATAGACTATGAAGAACACAGCAATACAGTCAATTAACGGGCAGGCGTTCTCTTCTTCAGTTGTGCTCTTATTGATCTCTCGGCGGCTGCCTGGTAGCTTTTCCTGACCTGAAAGCTCGTCGCTACGCCTGCCACATCTGCAGCACTGCATAACGCATACGTTTCTCGGGCAGCGTTTCTAGGATTTTACAGCGCCGGCGCCATTGCTCACTACGGCTATTGCAGAATCGGTGCCGTGAAGTCAACTTTACATATTCTGTTATTGCTCTCGTTTTGTAAAAAATACTTAAAATGGTACAATCTTTACACTCAAAGATGTACAAGATTTTTCATTTCGGATGCGTTGAGGCAAATGCGCACAGACTGCAGGACCAAAGGATCAGAGTTGTCTCTTTCTTATAATTTTATTTTTCCCTGTATCTATGGCGTACCCGCTGGTTCTTTCTTCTTGTATTCTACTTCCTTCTTTGCTTCTTTTTATATTTTGTTATCTCTTAATTTGTTTCTCCACATGCTTCTCTTCCCATTTGTTTTCTTTTACTTTTAGTTTTCTTCAATTTGTTTCTCCACATGCTTCTCTTCCCATTTGTTTTCTTTTACTTTTAGTTTTCTTCCTACTTATTTCTGATTTTGGTTCTTTCCTGCATAACCTCTTTCTTTCACCTTGATTATTTAAAAATTCACAGGACATAATTTTGGAATAGGTCATATGTATATATACGTATACCGTGCCGATTAGCGTATTTTTTATTTGAATTTACCTTTAAATTGAACGAAATAAATATTATGGATTATATAAATCTAATAATATGTGATCCCTGCAATTCCATTAGTGATTAATTTCACTGCTAATTAATCCAGATCGGATTGAAATATTAATTAATTCAGTTCATACCATAAATGATATTAAGGTGACAGTTTGTAATATGGGAGGGACAGATGTTTAAAATTAATATAGTGCTTACGCATATTACTAAATCACACTTTTCGAAGATCAGTGCGATATATTTAGAATCTGTTTATGTGAAGTTCGATTTTGTCCAATTTGCCGCATATACCGTATTTACGCATGTATAGGCCGCGTGCGTGTATAGGCCGCAGCACAATTTTCAGACAGAAATTATAGAAAAAATAATTTTCTTGGAATACTATTTCAGGAGTAGAACACTCTGTATTACTAATTATGAATATATATTTTTTAAATGAAGTGTGATTTCGAATATTTCGAATATAAGCCGCACCCCAGTTTTCCTCTTGAATTTTTGGCAAAAAATGTGCGGCCTATACATGCGTAAATACGGTAAGTGCTTTAAATCTCTCGTGACCAAACTGGGAAACGTTTCTTTTGACGTATCCGCTACTAATTCGAAGGTAACCCTCGCAATTTAAGTTATTATAAGTTAATCCCTCATTAATTTAAATTGAAGTTAATTTATATATAAATGAAAATAATCACATCCATTTTCATTATCTTCCAAAATTTGTTTAAGTAATAAAGAAGCGGAGCGTATTCATCTAAAAACCAGAAAATAAATTGAATATCTGTAACCCTCTGATATATTGGGTTTTCGGACTTTATCCATCGTCCTGGTTTTTAAGATAACTAATAAAAACACGACGTTTCGGAAACTGGATCTACTTCCGCCCTCAGGTGAAGGAAAACACCTATTCTGTTGGGTTTTCCTTCACCTGAGGACGGAAACAGATCCAGTTTCCGAAACGTCGTGTTTTTATTAGTTATCTTAAAAACCAGGACGATGGATAAAGTCCGAAAACCCAGAACACCCAGAGTGTTATACACCATCGTCAGAATCCTATAGTAACTATCTGTAACCCTATTCATTTCGTTTCTCAACACCGCAGTAACGAACACATTTCTTTTTAATTTGTTATGTAACGACGTTGTAAGTACGGAGACTACACGGCGCCGAAACCCAAGAGCTAGAAATCATCTTTCTTTGTCTTTCTGAAACATGTATTACGAGTACATCGAGAAAAGTGAAAGGTTTCACCAGTTTGTGATAACCTGTGCCATTAGCCGTTTCTGAGAAAATCTGTGTGCTCTGAGGCGTGTAAAGTAAGGGTTACACTGGATAGACAAGAGCACAAATTAAATTAACTCGACACAATTTACTTAAGACAAGGATGGACGAAAGCTGACACGTGGATCTTACCTGGTCTAACAGCTCTTCTCGTAGGATCATATTAAGACTGCAATAAAGCAAACTCGAACCATATATTTCCTATGTAAAACGGTGTTACACATATGTATTACTTAGTTATATTAAAATAATTCAAAGAAAAAGTAGTTTTGGACTACATTATCACGCATTTAAGTGACTAAAGATGGGGTTCGAATTAGTAATTGGATTTATTGACAACTTACAGGTCGTAACTTCAATTAGTTCTTATACTATTTCTGATTTACATAATTTACAGTTACTCCACACTAATCTTCTCAGTGTATGTCCATTAGTCTTCACTATCCGCTTCCTGTAAACAGATTTATAACACAGGGACTATAAAAGTCTCATTAAATTACACACTCCCAATATGGATGTTCTACAGCACATGTAACGTCACACTGAGTCTTCTAATACTTTTCTGGCCACACTGATGTTCCATCGGAACTTCGGAGCTCAAGTGAAGTCCGTCTATTACTCACTCCTCCAGCTTACAGCTCACTCCTTCAGCTTACGACTGCCCTCAACCAAGTCAAAGTCACATTGTGACTGACGGTTAGTCAGTCTTGACGTCGAGCCCATCTGGTACTCATGACCAGATATTTATTACTGTGACAGCTACGGTCTTGTTATTGCGGGGCTACAGAAAACACGTCACGTGGTCTCTGTACACTGTTCCGTGTCGTCACTGCCAACGCACAAGTGTGTTTACCGAACCGTTGCCTAGCCACGGGTTGCATAATCCGGCTGTTCTATTGTTGCGAGCGTGTGTTATTTAGGAACGGCTGTTTCTGTGGTTCAACCGTTCGTGCATGAAGCAAATACGCCGCAATATTTTGTTTTGTTGAATATGAGTCCTTTAAACCAACATTAATTATGTGGGCCTACTCTTTAATGCCCTATATCTATATATGGAGACTTTAATAGTTTATTTACAATTCTACATCTACAAATGTATATGGCCGTTAAAGCTTACTGATGCTAGTAATAAGCCAACACACTCTCCTACTCCTGCTGTAGACCCTTAATATCAAATTTAATCGAAATCCGATAAGACTTTTCGGAGATAAAAAATAACGGACCTCTCTGCTATGCGCTAAAGCAGAAATCTGTTGCATTTGCCGTTCGAAATTACAGGCATCCTTTTTGGCCAGTGTTTATAAACCGGAGGGGCCCATTCCACTCGTCTGAGGTTTCGAAAATTAGAACTCCTTCTAATGATTAATATTGTAAAATTACTAACTCTGTGGAACTGAGTCATTCTCGAGAAGCCGTTAGTCACTTAGCTACTTAAGAATTTTCAAATACTTTTTGGAACCCAATGGTTCATTACCGTGGTCACAAGAACCCTCCACTGGTCCCTAACCTGAGCAGATAAATCCAGTCCATACCACCCCATCCTAACTTCCTAAGATCCATTTTAATATTGTGACGTATAGACCCGTTGCTAAGCGGTGACCGTAAATAGCGACCGTTGCTAGTAAGGTCCACAACACACACGCACGCAACAACAGAAGGACTGCGCTTTCAATGTGATCTGCGCCCGTTCAGAGTGCCCCTTGTAGAGGCGGGTTCTAATACCAGCTTAGGGTAGTCTCGAATCTGAGACTGTAACATATGGTCACGAGTCCCGCGGGACTAAGACCCGAGAATGACTGTGCCGGCGAGGACCAGCAGCAACTGTAAATGTCAGACCCGTCCTCTCTTCAGAGAGACCGCAATTGTCTGATAGTAATAAAAATCTGGTCGTAAGACCCAGATGGGTTCTTTATACCAAGACAGACTGGCCGATAGACAGTCTGTCGTAACATAGCCCTGACTTTGACTTTGACCACTTCACGTAGAGGCGGGTTCGAATACCTCCACCGTAGCCCTGCGAGTCTTAGGAGACAACGAGAATGGAACCCAGTGCTTGGTATTATAACTGAGCCACCCTCTTTCTGGGGGATATGAATACGGGAATCTGGCCCTCCGGGTTGGGGGAGTCTCGAATCTGAGGCAGTAAAATATGGTTATGTGTCCCGAGAGAATCGGTTCCGAGAATATCTGTGCTGGCGAAGGCCATCAGGAATATTAAACGACAGGCCCATCATCTCGTCAGAGAGGATGTTACATGAGGACTAAGACAGTAAGGGTTCAGTTGAAAAAAAAAAAGAGAGAGAAAATTGATCGTGAGTCTGAGGGGGCTTGTCGTCTAGACGAACTGATTGGCGGTAAACCGCCAGTCTAAAGTAACTCTGACTCTGACTCTGACCAGTTCGGTTGTCAGTTGTCAGCTATCAGCGGAAAGTCAGCCTGTAAAGAGAAGACTAGAAGGATGATGTTAAATGACCGCCAGCCTTGGACCCAATTAGTTGAGGGTTGGCAGCTCAGTTGAGTGAAGAGAAGTGACGTAATCGGTTAATGCGTGAGTGATTTCGGTTGAGGGGTGGCAGTTGAGTCGAGCTTTGCAAGGGAGGCTGAGAAGAGATGACGCAATACTTGATAGTTCACAGTTGACAAGAGTTCTACACAGGCGGCTGTAACAAGAGAACCTGAGTGAGGGAAGCTGTGATGCTGTGGTGTTTTGTGAATTGTGGAGATTACCAGTGGAGCTGTAATTAGTTGTAGTTCCTAGTGGTGTGTACAAGTTATCAATAAATCCAATTCACCGATCCAAATCCCGTCTATAGTCACACACATGAATATGTGACAATATCCGCCCACCTACGGCCAGGTCGTTCTAATGGTTCCTTTCCTTCTGACTTTCTCGTCAAATTCCTATACGCCTTCCTCTTCTTTCCATGCTTTCTACATGGCTTGCCCATCGCATCAGTCTTGACTTGATCATTTTAATTATATCTTGCGAAGAGTACAAGTTATGAAGCTTTTCATTACGCAATTTTCTCCAAATTAGACTTATTACAAAAGAAATGGCTTTGGTTTCTACTATGGTGGAACTACGATTTCTTTGATAAATGATTTGTGTGTCGAAAGACACGAAACATTGGAAATCACTGTTGTAGGCCATCCTTGGGCGTGATCATTTTGAACAACGCGGTCAGAATATGATGGCGGCTTAAATACTTCAACAGTTTCTCTCCAGGGGGCAAGTTATCAGTAATAGATAACAAGTGCATGTGCTCGGCGCATATAGCAAATTGACGTTTGTGTTAATTTCATTCTGATTTTATTATTTTGTGTTATGTTCGTAATTCGTCTTATTTTCATTATATGTTTGTTACTTGAAGTATACTGTGCTGTTTGTTTGACAACAAATGAAGGAATTATAAGGTTATCTATTTGTTATCGTTGAACAGCAAATCAAGATTGGTCAACGGCCTTGACCATCCAAGTTTAATGTAGTATTTTTAATTTTATTGTTTCAGCTAGTTTCGTGAATTGAAACCAGGTGTTTTATACAACATTTGACAGCCATGGAAGCAGATGATAAACCATTTGCATGTTCCTTTGCTGGATGCAATATGGTGAGCAGTCTTCAGTTGTTACACATAGTTACATATACAGGAATTATTAGAAACGCCGCTTTGCTGCCGGAGCAAGGCAGTAATATACATAATGCCACACCTCCTTGCCCACGTGTTTTGACTGGTTGATTTTTGGTTTATGTAATGGCACTTTTATAACTGCCTTCGTGTTTAGGGTTAAATAACAGGTTTATTTGTGAAGGATAGATTGGCACTGATATGGAAGGAAGCGGTCGTGGTCTGTTTTAAGGTTTGCTCCATGCGTTAACTTAGAATGACAGAAGAAAGCTACAGAAACTCCAGTAAAGTCTAATTTATGTTGGAAAAATCTACAGGAAGCAAGTGCTTGAAGGCACTAAATTAGAAACAGCAAATTGTCAACACCTGAAGAGCACAGCAGAACAGTTATTAGAAGCTAATTGTTTTTTTTCTCACTGTGTAGTTGACTTTAGCAAGTTAAATATGCAAAGAGCTGTCTAGAGTATTTTGTAGTTCCTTTAGAAATTTCAATAAGAGAAGTAGCAGAAGAAATGTAGATGTGTTGTTAACTTGCAGCCAATAACCAGTTATTTATACTGACTGAGCTGTCCCTGTTCACATCTTATAATAAAACCCCAGCTGTTGATTCCTACTCAGTCACTATTCCCACTGAGCTACCCTGGCTTTTATAAAAGTAGATATAATACAGTTGAAGAAGTTTTGCAAAATTCATATGTATTCTTGTTGGTCTTATGTTTCATAATTTCTGTCACAAGAACCTCAAATCCAAACTTCTAGAGAATTATGAGTCACTTCTTATTCTGTTAACTCCGAGAAAGCAAGTGATGTTGAATATTAATAATTTGTCTTAAGTAATGTATGTTGTAAGTGTATAGACATAGCAAATGGTAGGTAATTGTTTCACAAAATATTTGTTTTGCTCTGTAATCAATTAAAAATTAACTCAATATTATAAGCAAGAAGATTGTATATTCACAGCAACCCATACTACATTGGTTGAGAATCATTATTTACTTTTATATCAGCATTATTGTATAGCCTGTCAAAATTTTAATGGGAAATTGCTGAGCATGAAATCTTCTGAGAAGACAGTTTTTTTGTATGTGCAACATTGTTTTCATATACAAATAAAGTTCATCAAAATCAGCGAACCTCAATTAAGCAGTCTGTAAGCCACTTTAATACCAAATACGTAGATTTCATGATCTACTTATGACTCAAGTGTACCTTTCAGTGCCATTTATTTCTGACATCTTCTGTTCCTGTTTATAATTTGTACAATTCTGCCATAATTTGCCACTGTTTCAGAGTTAGTGTGTATAATGACAGACTAGCAATTGTTTTATGTCATTTTCTGATCCTGTTTCTAACTACTCCTACTTCATTTGCTAATAAACATATATAATGACAATAGAAAGCCCTTAGCCTTGTGTGTGTGTGTGTGTGTGTGCACACTTGCGTGCATGTGTGTGTGGATTAAGGTTGCTAGAATAGATAATTTAAAATTATTATTCACTGGAACAAAATTGTCAAAACATAAAATATCTGTGCAATAGTTTAATTTCCAAATTAATCCCATTTGAACCTTATATATTATGTGACACTAATTTTCTCTAAATTATCTTTTGTCTAGCGGTTCACAAATGAAGACCACCTTACAGTTCATAAGAAGAAACATGACATGGTTTTGAACCTGGGAAATGGACAGAAGACTAATGTGTTTGTAGGTGAGTTTTTATATTTTCATGTGGTGAAGGTGGCTGACAATGAGCTAGAATAGCATAGCCATTATAGCGACTGGCTGTGGACTGGATGACTGAGGGGTCAGAGTTCGAGTCCTGATAAGGTCAAGATTTTCTCTTCTCCAAGTCATCCAGACTGGCTCTGGGGTCCATCCAACCTCCTATCCAATGAGTACCTGGGACTCTTTTCCCAAGGTTAAAGCTGATGGGGTGTGAAGCTGACCACTCACCTCTAACTAGTTCCAAAGTCAAGAAAATTTGGATATATACATCCAGTCCCCCATACACCTGCATGGTGTAGTGCTCAGTTAGTTAAGCATAGGGACAACTATATTATTATTTATTATATGAAGGTAGCTGACATGTAGTTACTGCACTGTATACATTGAGAGTTCATGTAGTACACATAAATGAATCCTGTTTCTCTTTTGACATAACTTACTTGACTGTGTTTTTGCATCTGGTTTCGCTTGTCATTAATTACAGCTGTGCTTAATATGAGGGACACAGTTCATTCATTCATTTCCTTTATTTTCCATATATCCATACAGGCAAAAATCCTAGGATGTGGAAGTAGTCCATTTGATTATAGATGTATACATGTAATAGATTACATAAGTCACACAACTAAAACAACACACACCAGTTAACTAACATAGGCAATATAAAAAAAAAACAAGAGCTTATTACAATTGTAACTAAACATAATTTAAAAAGTGCATTACTATAAAAACTTAAAATTAATACAATTTTCCCATAAATCAAAATACATTGATACAGGACTCATCATGTACATACATACACATCCTCCACTTTCCATAAACATCCATACAGGGAACAAACCCAAGATGTGGAATTAGTCATCAAACACATACACAAAGTCACACAAGTCACACCGCGAAGATCACCCACATTAATTATCCAGCACATACAACAATACAAGGCAAAAAGATTAAACAAACATAAGTCACAAGTAACCACAATACAACTCCTCACATCTCCCTTACCAACTATATTAAAATGTGGCGTTAAGCATTCAAATTTATGTGCCTTTGTAATTAAAATACTCATTTAATGCATAAAAAGAGTTAGGATGTAAAAATCTTTTTAGGGAACGTTCAAAGTGTCACTAAATGTTGTGCTTGATTGAGTAGCATGCTTGTTTCATGTTCAGGAAATCCCAGCTCAGAGACCAGTTGTCCTGACTGAAGTTTTTCATTGTTTTCTTTAGTCCCTTCAGGCTAATGTTGGACTAGTGCCTAAAATTAGACCATAGCCACTTCCTTCCACATCAGTTCTCATTCATTCATTAATCATCCTCCAATTCAACACTATATAGTCTGACTTACTGGACAGCATCGTTAAATAAACCATAAATACAGACACACAGTGTCTCTGTTGTTCACTTTACTAGTTTCTTGAATGGCCCCATAATTACCATTTCTGAAAAGTTCATATCATTACTTCCTGAATGACACTGGATTTATGATTTGTATTACAAAAAGTATTAATTTTTGTAGCAACTTTAGGAACATAAAATTCAGTGACAGGGTAGGGGTTGCATGCTAATGATGGCCTCCCATACAAGTGGCACTGACCGTATAGAGTACTATTCCAAATAGCAATAAATCCATGTATTTTTATCATTATTGCTGGGAACTATGCTACAAGCCAGAAGGTCGCGAGTTCAAGTCCCGATGAGGTCATTGGATTATTTTCAGTTGACCTAATCCTTCTGGTTGCACTATGGGACTGGTGTCGACCCAGCCCCTAATAGAAATGAGTACCAGGAATTAATGAAATAATTTTCCTGGGGAGTAACAACTGACAACCTTACCTCCATCTTTGAGCTGATTATCTAGATAATGTGGGGCCCTCAACATCTCTCAACCCTATGGGCCTTCACGGCCTGCTACAGGGATAGCTTTACTCTCTCTCTCTTTTTTTTTTTACATATGCATATTACTTTTCAATACACTGACTGACATGTGAGCTTTGAACATAACGCATATAAAGTTTTTGCCGTGGGGCTGCGCAACTTAAATTCTGATAGTATGAGCCCGTGCTGCAACCTAAAAGATACTTAGAGCATGATTACATGAACAAAATCTTATGCTTGCCATGAAGAAGTAACTACACTTTAATGTTGTTAAATTGTTCATGTGAGTATATTCTTCTTCACGGGTGTTACAAAACCTGGGTGGGTCTTGGCCTCCTCCATGGTTTCATAACAGTAAATTTTTCTAGGCTCAAGTTGTTTGCACCATGCCCAACCCCCAGTCCCCAACCTGGAGGACCAGGGACTTCACATCATTTGGCCCCTAGTCTTTGACCTGTCTAACATGGGTAACCCTATCAGGAGCCTATGCTTCTGCCACCATAGGTGTCTGGGTCATTGGGGCACACACAGACCTCCTCTCTAAAATAAGGTGGTAGTCCTCAAGGAGGATATTGGTATATTATTCTGTATTATATGAAAAATATTGTGATTGTGGCAAAAGTCACTTCACAGACTTCTCATATCACAGAGTTTTAAAAAGTACTTTTTGGAATCAAAATTGCATTCGTAATGAAGTTAAGAACAGAAAAATTCTGGAATGTAAAATAAGAGCATTGTGGTCATGCAGAAATTGCCTTTAGCCTTCTATTTGGTGGTGATAGCAAGTGAACCATTTTAGCTAGACTTACGAAGTTTGATCTGGAGAAAGATCATGAACATATCTGTCCATTAAGTGTGAAATGTGTTACAGATATGGCAACATTGAAAAACTTTAAGGTTATAGTAAACAAATTTAGTATCTATAGACAGATTATATATTTACATAATATGTTCTTCACAAAAATAAAATAAAACAACAATAATAATAGTAATAAATATGTATGACTTGAGATGTATGCAGTAGGAAAGTGTGCTTTATAAGTACTGCTTGGAATTCCTTGTTTCTTTCTTGAAAATCCTACATAGATCAGCAAGACCTCTCACTTCATTAATTAAGTATTTAACTTAACCCAATTGGGTCATTCTTCAGAAGCTGATAGCTGCTTGGCTAGTCAAGACATTCCCAACATTTTATGGAACACATGGGTTCATTACTGTGTTCATAGGAGCCTGCCACTGGTCCCTATCCTGAGCCAGATAAATCGAGTCCCCCTTCTCTCACCCTCTCTTCATAAGATCCATTTTAATATTATTAACATATTATTATTATCTTATCATGTCTTCCAAGTGGTTTCTTTCTTACAGGTTTTCATATCCAGCCTCTTGTGCGTTTCTCTTCTCTTCCATGCATGCTATATCCCCTGCCAGTCTTATTGTCCTTAATTTCATCATCCTAATAATCTATGGCAAGAAATACATATTATTAAGTAAAAAAGTAAAGCTATCCCTGTAATGGGCCATGAAGGCCCATAAGGTTGTGAGACATGGAGGGTCCCATATTATCTAGACAAAGATGGCGGTGAGGTTGTCAACCTTACGTGCCGGCCGTGCTTTACTCCCCAGGAAAAGTATTTAATTAATTCCTGGTACTCATTTCTGTTAGAGGCTGAGTCGACCCCAGGGCCATAGTGCGGCTGGAAGGATTAGGTTAGCTGAAAAAAATTCAATGACCTCATCGGGACTTGAACCCGTGACCTTCCGGCTTGTAGCATAGTGCCTCAACCAATTATGCTACCATGTGCCCATAATGCAATTTTTTCCAGGCTCTTGTTACTTCCTCCCACTTTGGTCCAGATATTCCCTCAGCATCCTGTTCTCAAACTCCCTCAGTCTGTCTTCTTTCCTTAATGTGAGAGACCGCATACTTCTATATTCATTGCTTAAAAAAAACAGGTTTATAATGCTAATTGAATTTAGGAGTCTGATGCTAGATTCAAATGATTTTTATTGTTGCAAGCCCCATAACAGAAGGAATAACTGTGTTGTTTTCTTTTTCAGCGGATCAAACTCCTACTCCAACTCGTTTCATCCGTAATTGTGAAGAAGTTGGTTTATTTCAAGACCTGCAGAATGTCAATCCATTTGAGGAAACTTTTCGCAAGGCTGTTGAGGCTTCAAAGACTGGAGTAGGACTGTTACATGAGGTAAAGTTACTACTGCCTAGATCAAGTTAAAATGAATCCATTGTGTAAGAACAATGAGATATGCTTCACACATTTATACATTAAATTCTGGGTCAGTGTTTATGACATTTCTACTAATTGCTGTGTCTATATTCTGATAGATATCTATCAGCCTTTATGATATCTCATCCCAGAAGACAGTTATCTTCATAGTCATTGCCATGAGAAACTCAAATCTCAGTTGATGATAATGATGGCAATACAACTGATGAGAGGTCTCAAATTTTTTATTATTGCTCTGATAGGTGTGCATATACACATAATTGCATTAGGTGTCTGTTTTGGTTGATATTAGTCAATTGAGGTTGGTCTAAGAATCTTCTCTTGCATTTGGCAGACATAAGTAATCACATGTAAGGTTTGAGGTTATCACAACAGTTGTTATGTACAGTTCAGTCTTCTGGAATTTAATATTGTTGTCTACAGAAAGTAAGCCAATGTTTCAGTGGAGCATGTCACCACCATCTTCAATGTTGAAGTTCCTCCAGAACGTTTGTCAACTTTCTCTGAACTATATGGTGTTATATTCCAGAAGGTAGAACTCTTCACCAATCAGTGGCAAGATGTTATCAATGCACAGTGCTCTGATTAGTTCTTCTAAGTGTCTTGATGTAGTAGCAGATGCTGGAGTGACTATTTGTCTGATGTATATGGACTCCAATGTTCACATTCACTTTATTTTTTCTTTCCCTCCTCATATTTGTTAATTCTTGGGAATGGTATGACTGAAGATGGTTGTAATGGAACTGCTGCAACAGTAGACTGAGTCTTATTATATTTAATACACATTCCAGCACATCCATACAAGGCCAAAGCCATTGGATACAGAACCTGTCACACCACAAGCTTGCTAAATCAGCAAATAGTCAACAGAATAATAATAATATATTCATTTTGTTTTTCCTTGAGTGTTCTGTCACTAACAGGACTGGAAAGATGCATTTCATACCAGAGTGCACACAGCTTACACAGGCATTTTTTGCACCTCTGCCTTCAGAAGTTTCCTAGATATTATGGATAGTTTTGATGAAGACCTTAATTGTGTTTGCTGTTGGTTCCTGTGGTTTATTGATTTTTGAAGTATTGCTCCTACCTCATGTGTTTATGTGTCTGCTATATTGTTATTACTAATCATACAAAATTAAAACAGTGCAACTGGGGCTGGCCTCCAGTGACATAGTATTCATATCAGATTTGATCAAAATCTGGCCAGCAGCCCTTAAGTTGAAACACATTGACAGACATATGAGTTATTTTTATGAACATTATGCAAAATAAAATGGCCGATCCCCGTAATTTGAAAGTAAGCGTATTAAGATGATGTTGTATGGCAACAGTTTGCATTTTTGAGCCAGATACAGGTGAATCATCTTGTCCATACATCTGTAGGATTCATCAGGTTTGTCCACAGTTGTATATTAGCAGGCATGTGTTAAGTAGCTTCACTGTCTACCACATCAGCTACACTTCCTTGTTGGTAAATTCGATTGTGGTACTTCCATTCACCTTTCCTGAATTGCAGTCTTGGAAGCCCCATGTCTCACCAAACAACCAAACAGCAGTATTGATTAAGCCATACATTACATGCAGTTTCATCAGTAAGAACCTTTATTTAGACATTATGGATGAAATTCATGTAAAATTATTTTTTTATATATAAAATATTACTTTATGGTTTCTGTATTCTCATTGGATAATTTTTTGTTTTTGTTTGTTTCTTTTATTTATGGTTTATGTAATCATGCTGTTAGTAGCGCATGTTTTATAGTGTCACGTGATTGATTACTGAATAATGAATTGATAGGTATTTGGAAGGAACTGGTCATGGCATAATTTGATGAATTATTCTTGCACATACTTAGAGCATCTGAGAAAAATCTCAGTTAGGATAGCCAGTTTTGGGGCCAAGATTTGAACCCTAAGCCTTCTGACTACAAAGCAGGAGTGCTACCCATTCGACCACAATGTTTGATCCATTTTTATCATTGTTTAGATTCAACCAGTCATGACTGCACCAACAAAAACATTCTTGTGAGCTGCCATTGTTGTATGTAATGAATCTGAGGAAGGTTATTATTATACACAGGTGGATTCCCTAAGCGTGCCTACAGGAACTGATGACACACTTCACACACCAAATGTGTTCCCACACATTGCAGAAGATTCAACATCAGACAGCAGTTCAGCATACAAGTCTGTGGCTACCCCTTTTATTGCATCCGCATGTGTCATTACTGAAAATGGAAGGAAGCAGCCAAGGTATACAGCTACACAATCTGGTATGATGTTGAAATTAATCTAGTAACTAATTTCAGGTTAGCTGCCTTAAAACATCTTAAAATAAGAATTGATGAAGTATGATGTTATCTTCTCAGGCATCCTCTCTTGAAATTCTATAAAAATTATGTACTTAACATAAACAGTTATTTGCTTAAAGTTTATAATATTAGTATTAAATATTTCTTATCTCTCATAAGGTAAATACAAAGGTCGGATAAAAAGTAGTGGCAACACCTCTATGCTTCTGAAATGATTTTATTACCCGAGGTAAACGCATTTACATTCCTTCAATATAATTGCCTCCCATGTGTACCACCTTCTGCCAAATTTGTGGAAGGCGTCGTACACCATCAGCGCATCCACTTCTGTTGATGTCCAGCAGTGACTGCCCTACAGCACAAATAATCTCCTCTCTTGTGTTGTAATGTGTCCCTTGCAGTGGTTCTTTCATTTTGGCAGAGGGATCATAATTGCACGGACTCATATCAGATGAGTATGGCGGATGTTGCAGTATCTCCCATTGCCAGCAGCGCAGGAGATCCTTGACAGCGTCAGCAGTATGAGCCCTTGCATTGTCATGAAGGATGATGGGGTTTGTTGCCAACAAGTGTCATCGCTTTCTCCTGAGTGCTGGATGAAGATGAATACGCAGGAAATTGCAGTAGTAGGCAGTGCTTACTGTCTGTCGTTGAGGTACAATGTGGTGGCATATCACTCCATCTACGTCATATGCCACAATGAACATCGCCTTCACATTACTCTGTGTAGGGCACACTTAGTTTGTATGAGGAAAGCCAAGATGCTTCCATTCATTTGATTGTTGCTTCAAGTGCGGTTCGTATGAGTGACCCCAAGTTTCTTCCAGAGTGACGATCCTTCCTAGGAAGTCATCACCTTCCCTCTGGTACCGGTCCAACAAGTCCTGTGCAATTGCATAATGTTGTCATTGTTGCACCTCGGACATTGTATGGGGTACCCAACGCGCTGCAATTTTGCAGTATCCAAGGATATCATGCAGAATGTGGAGCATGGTTTTGTGACATGCCTACCTGAGCAGCTAATTCCTGCACAGCCCATCGACAATCGACATCCAGCAAAGAAGCAAGGAGCTGAATTATGTGGTTGTCAACGTGGGGTCGTCCTGAACGACGGCTGTCCTGGATGGCATCCCTCCCTTCATGGAACAATTTCACCCATCATACCACTGTGCGATGTGGCAAAGCAGCATCATCACATGCTTCTCGCAGTCCGTGGTAACAGTTTTGTGCACTACGACCTCATGCAACTTCAATTTTTATCCAGGAGTGTTGTTCTTGTTTTATAAACATGTTAGGGTGCTTGAGGCTGTGCCATAGCTCAAGTGGTTAGTCGCTGGCTTCCCACCGCGGCGGACCCGGTTCGATCCCGGGTCTGGTTAGGTGGGATTTGTGGTGTACAAAGTGTTGCTGGGGCAGGTTTTCTCCAAGTACATCGGTTTCCCCTGCCAATCTTCATTCCACCAATTGCTCCACAATCATCCTCACCTGTCATCTGGGGCTGGTACAGTAGGCTAGAAGTCGCTGCAGTACAAGGATGCAACTCAATGAAACACAACCAGAGCCACTCACTGCACTACTTCAACTGAACTTCTGCTATCAGCTACAGACAGCGCTAGTGTCACCTGACACACATCTTTCATGTTACAGCAGTGTTGCCATTACTTTTTATCCAGCCCTTGTATTTAAAGACAGAGCAAGCAGGTCACAGATGGTCTGGTCACAAATGATAAGAGGGAGAAATATTTTAAAACAAAGATAAACAATTTTAAACAAAGATAATGCACAAAGCAGACAGATATCAGCGAAGTAGATTCTAATAAATCGAAACCTGTTAGTAACGACAAAAAGAACAGTTGGGAAGACTTATGGTTTTAAATTTTAAACTAGATGCAGTGTAACAGGTACGTAAGTGCATACACCTGATGATGGCCGTTTGCAGCTGAAACATGTAGTGTAGAAGAGGGCAAGACAAAAGAACTACAATAAATTGTTGCACTTGGGACGGTGTTTATGTCATATATTTTAAATTCTTAACTATTAATGATTATTGCCCATGTGAAATGGACTGTGAACTCTGAACAAGAGATCTAACGCTCTATATGTGTTACATGATTTTAAATCTGTCAAAAACATCTTTGTGCTATAACATTGTACACTGAATAAGAGCTCAAAGAGAAATGTGGCTGCCATAAGATCATCTGTTATGGTATGGTTTCTTGGTTCAACGAGCTAGAGGTGTTGGTGGGTGGAAGATGTCTCTGAATTGTCCCAAGGCTGGTTTTGCCACTGAATAGATAATTTAACAACAACCCTTGCTGACTCGAAGAAACCAAAGATGATGTCTCGTTGAGTGTGTCCCTGTGATTATTGAAGTCAGTACTGTTACTGTATGTAAATTTCTCAGTCTGTGCAGTGAAGGCAGCACATCTCCAGGTACGCGTCGGGAGCTGGACCAATTACTGCATCCCACATCCACAACAGGGGATGTCGAGTGTCACAGAGAGATAATTACGGGAAACATACCAGAGGAAAGGAGAGTTGTGGAGCTTAGTAGCAGTACTAAGGTGGTGCGGCAGGAAGCAGACACATCACAGCACCAGGAGACTTCCAGACAAGTCGTGTGAGTATATATATATATATGAGAATATAACATTAAATGCTCGTATGAGTAAATTTGATTAAAGCATTAAGTTTATGACTTCATTTTCATCCAACTCCACTCTGTAGATGATACTGTTCCTGCTTCGTTTATAGAACCAGAAGATCTTCATTGGGGTTCAGCATCGTAATCATCATCACTTCCACCACCACCACCACCACCACCGTCCCCTGCAAGGCTTGAGCATGTTAGCCCATTCCATCTTCAAGCATTGGGCCATCTTCTTCTTGGCCATACTGGATCATGTCTTCTTATTGCTTGATAATATAAAATGTGCATGGAAGATCTTTTTGAAGACATCCTACGTGGGTGTTAATTTGGGTTGTGGTTGCTTTTGTTTTCAGTATCTTTCAAAAGGTGTCTGGTTGAAATTCAGCTGGGATATTGACTATCCTGACTAAGCATTTTATGGCTTTTCTCATTCCCTCCAGGCATTTTCCAAGATAGTACATTTTGTTAGGTCCTGACCACTTCATTTCATGTCTTTTTCAGTTCATTGTCCACTATCATTGAATCATTCAGTGTTGTATAGTCTGAGGTACTGATGGTCATTGCATAAACTAGATGGCTGGGATAGGGTAGCCAGTATAGCCACTGACTGCAGGCTTGATAACCAAGGGGTTGGAGTTCAAGTCCCGGTAGGGCTAAGAATTTTCACTTCTCCATGTCATCCAGACCTGCTCTGGGGCCAACCCAGCCTCCTATCTAATGGGTACGGGAGGCTCTTTCCCTGGTGGTAAAGCAATCTGGGCATGAAGCTGACAACCCACCTGCAACTAGTGCTGAGATCAGGAAAATGTGTGTGTCTACATCCACTCCTCCATATGTTGTCATGGCATTGACACTCACATTAAGAATTTAAAGTATGTAGTATGACATATTTGCGCTATGCAGGACCCCCCCCCGGCTAGCGGTGACGGAACAGCATCGGAGCCACTGCTGCTGCTACAGTAACAGGCCAGTAAACATTCTGCCCCCCTCCCTGGTGACATAACAGGGGACACCGCTGTTAAAACGAGGCAACAGGAAACAGTATAAAAAGCCGGCTGAGCAGTGTGAGCAAAGTGTGTGATTAGGAGTGACACAGTGTGGATCGTGAAGTCACCGAGAGCAGTGGAAGTAATTGTGATACTACCAATGGCAGTAATTGTAATTGTGAATTGTGTGAACGCAAGAGCTAGTGTGGAATAAATTCACTACATCCAAGATGGCGTGAAGTTATTTGTCACATCGTATACCCAACGCATGACAGTATATTCATGTAATGAACAAGGAATATGTGGAATGAGGATTTAAATCACATCCAACAATTCTAAAACAGTACTTTCGCATTTCTTTAATAGCCTTGACTGCCATATGTATTTGCAAGGGGTAAAAAGAAAAGTAAAGCTATCCCTGTAAGAGGCTATGAAGGCCCATAGGGTTGTGAGACATTGAGAGTCCCACATTATCTAGACAGTCGGCTGAAAGATGGCGGTAAGGTTGTCAGCCTTACGCGCCGGCCGCGCTTTACTTCCCAGGAAAAAAAAAAAAGTAAAGCTATCCCTGTAAGAGGCTATGAAGGCCCATAGGGTTGTGAGACATTGAGAGTCCCACATTATCTAGACAGTCGGCTGAAAGATGGCGGTAAGGTTGTCAGCCTTACGCGCCGGCCGCGCTTTACTTCCCAGGAAAAAAAAAAAAGTAAAGCTATCCCTGTAAGAGGCTATGAAGGCCCATAGGGTTGTGAGACATTGAGAGTCCCACATTATCTAGACAGTCGGCTGAAAGATGGCGGTAAGGTTGTCAGCCTTACGCGCCGGCCGCGCTTTACTTCCCAGGAAAAAAAAAAAAGTAAAGCTATCCCTGTAAGAGGCTATGAAGGCCCATAGGGTTGTGAGACATTGAGAGTCCCACATTATCTAGACAATCGGCTGAAAGATGGCGGTAAGGTTGTCAGCCTTACGCGCTGGCCGCGCTTTACTTCCCAGGAAAATTATTTAATTAATTCCTGGTACTCATTTCTGTTAGAGGCTGAGTCGACCCCAGGGCCATAGTGTGGCTGGAAGGATTAGGTTGACTGAAAAAATCCAGTGACCTCATCAGGACTTGAACCTGTGACCCTCCAGCCTGTAGCATAGCCCCTCAACCAACTATGTTACTGCGTGCCCCCATGGTAAAAGTTATTTCTGGGTTTAATTAGTTAAGCTCCATGCCATGAAGATATGTGGAGCAGTGGAGGCATAGCCCGACCATTCTTAACCTAAGCACTAAATGGAGGTTGGTGGTCACCCTCACACCCCAGCCACTTTACACCCAGGGAAACAGTGTCCCGTACACATTGTTTAGGAGGCTGGGTGGCCCCAGAGCCAGTCTGGATGTTATGGAAAAGGAAAAAATCTATTGCTTTGCCAGGAATCAATCCCTGACTCAATCAGTCATCCAGCATGTTGCCTAGTCACTAATACTAACTTAGCCATCTCAGAGAATGGAAGGCATTTTGAAATTTCTTTTTGTGCTCTTTATTTAGTCCATTGAAGGAAACAGTAGATAAAGGTGCATGAAACATTGAAATTGCATTTTGTATGTACTAGGTGTACTTGGATTGATTCTTGGCTGAAGTACTAGCTGACCTGGTTTCTCTCAGTTGCTCTAGGCACCTGTTGTGAATTTACACAACAAAAAGATCACGTTCACTCCTGTCTTCACTCTGTGCCGTCTTTTCATTTGATGTACCTCATGCAGTTTATGCAGCATAATTAGCTGATTTTGTTGGTTCACAGATTGTTTACAAACATTGCTTGCATTACAGATGCTGTTTAGCATCAAGCATAGTAATGATGACTGTGGACATTGACATGGGGAGGACAAATGAGGAAGTGATCTTGTCATACTTTGGGACACTTTTCAAGCATTCACAGGGAAAACCTGATAAAAGACATGAAATACCTCCGCCAGAATATCCCTACCCTGACTGAGATTAGAGTCAAGCGTCTTCTTCAGACACATTACTGTTTAAGCCAAGCTACTCATCATCATCATCATCATCATCATCATCATCGATGTCATCGTCATTGTCATCACTGGCAAAACATCCATTTATGAGCCATAGCCTTCCTTAGAAGATCCTGCCAGATTTCACATCCAGTTTTCACTTCTTTGAGTTTTGCAACAGTAATTTTTTTACGGAACAAGGTCATCATCCTTGCACCCAACCCCCAACCTGGAGGACCAGGTCTCTATAATTATGTCTTCCAGTGACAGGTTAGCTCAGTTAAGCCCCCTGCCACTGGATTCCCATTTTATTGTCTTATTTGAACGTTGACTATAGCTAATATCACATAACAGCTCACCAATTGTTTGCTGTATGTTATATATGTATTTAGCATCACATTCTTTTGACTACTTTGAACTGGAGTGGATGTAAGGGTTTCAAAGCGCACATCTAGAGAAATGTAGAATTGAAGGATGGAGAACATCATACATTGTGAATAATATATTTTTTGTATTTATTCCAGAACTGTCAACACAGAGAATAAAAATGGACTGGAAGTTGGCGCTTTGAGTCCAGAACCTCCAGCAGTGACACCATCACAAGCTTCGTCCAGTACTGTTGGCAACACTGTGCAGTTGCTGCTGCGAATGCCTGATGGGAAACTGTTGCAGCTGTCTGCCCTTCCAGTGGAACCTGTTACACCTTCAGGAGCGAATCAGCTTATGCAGCAGCAGTCACAGGTATGTTATCATTACATCCATCCTTACATTTGTGGTATAGGAATATTTGTCACTTTTCATCCAGTTTCCTCCATGGATGTCAAAGTCAAAGTCACATTGAGACTGATAGTCAGTCAGTCAGTCAGTCAGTCAGTAAGTCATGGTATGACCAGATATGTATTACTGTTTGACAGTTATGGTCTTGATTTTGTGTGCCGCCCTCTCTGACGAGAGGATGAGTCTGTCTTTTGTATGTGCAGCTGGTCCTTGCCAGTGCAGTCTTTCTTGGGTCCGAGTCCCTTGGGACCCATGACCATATTTTACTGTCTCAGATTTGAGACTTCCCTTTTCATTGCCTCTTACGACTCCCAGGGTCATGGTGGAGGTATTTGATCCTGCCTCCACACAGGGTCTACATGGATATGTAATATATTTCAGTTTATAAACTGAAACAAGATCTTTTCTTTATGTCTTCCAGTATACTGATGTCACAATTTACAGTAAGAAAAGTTTATAAAATGGTAGAATGCTATCAGATGTTTGATGCTGATATATTGTAACATCAGCCATTGAACTATATGGTACCCTCAGGGTATAGCAAGGAACTCTTCCTTTGGAAAAGCAGTAAGAACAAAACCTTCAGTCATCTCTGTTTCTTTTAATGCCCCCACATTGCTTCCAAACCATGTGATGAATTTAGGCGATTCCACTGTAAAATTTATGGGATAAGCGTCAGTTTGGTCTGTGACTTTGTACTTTATTTGAAAGTGCTATCATACTTCGTCATATCTTTTGAAATTGAATGTACAAACAATGGTAACATGAAACAACATATGTGATCTCACTAAAATATACACCTTGCATTTGAAACTTTTTTTCTCTGAATGATATATTTAAAGAGATGGAAGGAAAAATACTTCATGCAATTGAATTACTTTACTGTTCATTATCTTTGTCTCATAAATTATCTCTGTTACAAAGAACATGTCTAAGACTACAGTATCCATTTCAGAAATTCTGTAATTAAATTTAATTCCTTCACATTTTGAATATATTTTTGTGTTATTATAAGTGGTGTAAATGTCCCCTAAGTTCCTGAAATTTTAATGTATGCAGGTGGAGCCACAGCCAGTACCAACACAGAATGCAACAGTGGTACTTACAACCCCAGGCCCTACACCTGTGGTGACATCAGTACCAGATGTCACACTAGAGAAGTGCAAGAATCCCACACCTGCTGTGAAAATGTCACCATCACCAATCAAACAACCCACAGGCCTGTCACTTGCCAAGCTTGTAAGTGTTAGTTGAATTCTGTATGCTGAATGTGAGGTTCAAATGAAATCCATTTGATCAGCAGTATTTGCTGGTGATTCTGTGGAAAGGTTTCATTTGCACAACCAACATACAAGGATTGGTATTAAGTGACTTCTTATGGTTGTGGCTTCTGTCTGATCAGCCTACCAGGATTCTTGCAACCACAGCAGGGGTTTCTTCTAATGTAGGAGGGAGAGAGAAAAAATAATGTTCATTTCACATACATACATACATAGCTTCACAGATCCGTTGCCCGTATTGGGCCGGATATTGAGCTCGTCAGATTAATGGAAGTAGTTATAATATGCAACCAAGTCCAAATAGACACAACCTAGATACAATAGGAATATAATACAATTAGATATTTGCCATATATTCATCAATAGACTAGAAAGCTTTCAAGATAAGAAAGTCTTTCAGTTTTTGTTTAAATAAATTAACATTATCCTTTAAAATATATACTTTATGTGGCAAATTATTAAAAATTTGTATGGATGTATAATACACTCCCTTTTGTATAATGGATAGTCTAGCTGACGTGACGTGTAGTCTATTTTGTACTCTAGTGTTAATTTTATGTACACTTATTTGTAAGATAATTATTTTTGTTTTCAATTAAAACATGACCATGGCATATATAAACAAACAGGGAACTGTAAGTATCCCTAATTCTCTGAAAACCTCTCTACAAGAACTTCTAGGCCTCGTCATTAACACTGCTGTAATTGCTCTTTTCTGAGCCACAAAAACTGTTTTCATTGATGACAAAGAAGAGCCCCAGAAAATAACACAATATTTAAGTTGAGCTTGACAGTAAGCACAATAAGCCATTTTCAACACTTGCCTACTTACTATAGGCTGTAGTTTTCTAAGCACAAAGGTTGCAACACTCAACTTATTTATCACTTCATTTTTCCCAGCCCAAATGATTGTCCAGGCACACACCTAAAACTTAACATTTACAGAAAATTTAAGTGTTTGGTCATTATATTTTATATGTGACGGACAGTCCG